TACTTAGGGGCCTATGGGTAGAATCAGCCTTGAGCTTCCAGATGCCGCGCTGGGCGGCCGCTTGCGCCAGCGGCTCGGCCTCGCTGTAGTCCAGCTGCAGCAGCGGCGTATAGCCTCGAGGTCTAGGGGTTTAGGGTTTTTTTTTGTTTTAGGGTTTAGGGTTTAGGGTCTAGGGATGTCTAGGGTCTAGGGTTTTTGCTTTTTTTGAGAGCCTTTTTCCGGCAGGTCTTTGACCAAACCCTCCGAAATCAAGAGGGTTTAGGGCCTCACCTGGGCTCTTGTTAAGGGACTTAATTTAAGTTACCATAATAGGGATCTATAGTAATAATTTGGTTTCCTTATTATGGCAACTTAGATTCTACCAAGAGCCCAGTCAAGGTCGGGAGGTGGAAAAGGGCCGGGAAATTCAATTTAAGAGTGCTCCCTTTCTGGTGGTGGTGGGGGTGGTGGTAGTAGTAGTAGTAGTAGTAGTGCTTCTTGATGGTGTCTTTACCTTGCAGACCCGTATACGGCAAGTGGTGGATGTTGTCGTGGGAGCCGACATGGATGTGCCGTTACCTATGTGCACGTGCTTCGAAGTTGCGGATGCTGTCTTCAGGACACCATGAATTCAGGCACAGGATGAGGAGGCCCCCCCAGGAGAGCCAGGGCAACCGCATGCAACCGAGAAAAGCTCGTCATTTGGCATCGCGAATCGGCTTTAAACTCTCGTGACCCGCTTGTGACGAGGCACCGAGGTAGGCCACCACCATGAAGAGGCAGAAGACCAAGCGGATCATCCAGGTGATCGCCTTTGGCTTAGGCATCTTAGGCGGCGCGGGTTGACGTTGAGCTGCACTTGGGTCCATGACGCTTCCGAAACTCGGGCGACTAAGGCTGCATGAGGCTTATGGCCCTCTCTCAGCTGCTTCACTACGGAACCGAAGAACCTTGCGAGTGCTTGGTGCTCCCCAAGCGGCGGTCTCTCGTGGCGGTGGACCACCGGCCTAGTCACCGCGGCTGCTGCAAGTGGTTTGGAGTCGTTGCCACTGTCTATCCTGCCGTCTACCGCTATGTTCCCACCTAGCCATGCAATATCATGCAGTACCTGTTTAGAATAGGCTGACCTTGAATTCTGCGTTGGGAGTTTACGAACAGAGTCCTGTCGGTCTGTCTCGGGTCGGCCTCCGAGTCCGGCTCGCCCTCGGCCCAGTGGTGGAAGGTCGCCTGGCCCGCCGGGGTGAGCAGGCCGATGACGAACCTCAGAGGAGAAAACCCCCCTCAAGAAAACAGATGTCAGGAAGGCAGCCTGCCCTGAACAGGGGCGTGTCTTCTATGCCACTGTGGCCATCGCAACGACCATGCTAAGTGGGCGGCGCCACCAAGAAGGCTGCGCCGAACGTCACCCGGCTGATGGCCGACGCGTGCATCAGGACGGTGTCCTTTCCTGCGAAGCGTGGCCGCTTGGAAAGATGAGCTCACCAAGCACTGCTGCTTTCCTGGCCCTGGTTTGAAGCTCTTGGTCCCTGCTTGCTGTCGAGCTTCGGCTCATCATGAAGAGCAGGTTCAAATCTCCGAGCATGTACCTTTGCAAAGCGCATGGCCGTTTTCCAAAGCGTTTCAAAGGAATCAGCATGCGCTGTGTACAAGCTACCTCGTCAGACAGCTCATGCCGAATGTATCGCGAGAGCGACACAGGAAGACAGGGAATGCAAGAAGGATCAACAACATGGGAGGCTGTCATCCAAGCGGCCACAGCTGAATCAGGATGGCCACTACACAGGAACGGACTGTGCGGTTGCGCTCCTTTGCAGCTTTGCGCAACGCGATGTGAGCCCACAGCATCACCATGCATCCCAAGCCGTCCCAAGCCCATGTCTCTCCTCCCCGCTGCCTTCGCTAGCAAGCGCGGACATCAGCGCGACGAGATCCACAAGCACAGTCCCAACAAAGCCACCGGAGTAGCAGTAGACCCACCAGATGCGCGCTCGCCGCTCCACCTGAGGCGGCAAAAACCAACGCACCAAGGCCCCAGAGAAAGGCAGGGCAGGTCCCTCCCTGTCCCTGCCTGCCTCGTATTCGTCGCTTCGGACGGCCCCTCCCTGGCGAAAGGCTCCGTGGAAGCCGTGGCCCAGAAGGATGCAGGCTGCGCAGCCAAAGATACAGAGCCACCATAGTGGGTTCAAGCGCAGGCACCGGTGTCTCCGCAGGTCAGCACGCGAGAGCTGCCGCCAACCCGGCATGTGAGCCGCGAACTCCAGCATGAGCTCTTCCGACTCCTCCAAAGTGCGCGGGAAAAGTACAGACAGCAACGACCCGATCCTTTTGCTGCTAAACACACAATCTGTCATCCCTGCCTTCCAAACAAACCGGAACTCTCCGCGACAGGCGCCAGCACAGGATCCTGTGGCTGGCGCCTGCTGCTCAACATCTTCGCCGACGTGTCCCACATCCATGGAGAATGCTGCAAGCGGTACTGCGACGCTGTGGGGTCCGGTCAGATGTTGGGTTTCTTTGTGACTCAGTGTCTTGGTGGAGTGTTGTCTGTGCACCTGGGCTCTTTGTGTGCACTTGCCAAAGCAGCCAGTCCAAACGAGACGGGCTAGCAGCCGGCGGCTTGGCCAAGACGGACACCGGTAGGTGCCGCTGGCCGTTGAACCGGCATGCCAGACACGAACACGTTGACTTGAGGCAGTAACGGTGCTTGCTCAATGCACGAAGTCCAGGACAAGACTATAGTAGCACACACGCGAAGGCAAGATGCCACGCAGCTTGACTCAGTGACAGCGCCCTTTCGCTTTGACGCGTCTTATTACCACATGTCCTAACACCCCCAGCATACATGCAGTGGAAAAAGCCAATATGAAAGTACTGCGGTTTTACATAGCCCATTTATCAAAGGATCCTGCGGCCGCGCCCGTTTTAAGCTCCGCCAGCTGTGGGGCAACTAAAGAGCCAATCGACGAGAGACCTCGCTGGGATTCTGCTCTGCGCCGACGCCGAAGAAATGGGCTTTGCATCCGAGGCACCCGATTTTCTCGTCCGCCATCAGCGACACCGGCTCTATGAGATCTCCTCTGCCGCTTCACAAACGGTTTTTTTTTGTTTTGTTCGCCCCTTTTCCGTCAGCCCGAGGGAGTCCGAAATACCAAACCTGGTGGAGGCATGGTGACGGGAGCCAACTCTCACCCCAGGGCTTAGGGTTTAGGGACTTAGGGTCTGTGGCCCTGCTCGGAGCCCTGGCGCTGCCTTGCGGAGTCAGCGCCAACCGAAGCGCTGCGATCACGGTATCTGCAAACACACTCTGGGAGCCGCTTTGGGACGCAAAGGCGAACGGCGGGCCTCGGCGAGAGGGAGTCAGCGTGAGCCGCTCAATCTCCTGCCCAAAGCAAGAGCATGGAGAGACCCATCCAGTCACGTCGCCCCAAAGCTGCTGCTGCCGTGCACGACTACGCAGGGTCATCCATGCAGCTCCTGCACTGATTCTTCATTCGGCTCTACGTGGATTCCGAACCTGACATGACGAAAGGGCTCTTAAGTACATGTTGCGAGTATTTGCGAGTCAAGGACGGCTCTGATCTGATCCTGAGCTGCTGGCTCCACATGGGCAGCATGGAATTTCTTGAGCTCCTGGAGCTCCAGCTGCATGTCAGGACTTCACACGGCACCCAGTAGGAACTAATTGCCAGCAGTGTCCTTCCATGAGACGCGGCTGCCATCAATCCCCTTGATGCAGCGCAGCATCCGCACGGCGACGCTGAGGCACATCTCGGAGATGAGAAGTTCGTCGCGATTCGCAACCGCCGCGGCTGTGAAGTCCGCTAGACGCAGCCATCCCACGAATTCCATAGGGCGCTGCACGACGATGTACTGCAGCATCGCAAAGGCCATGCTCGTTGGGCAGCCACGGCACCAGGAGTGGTCTGCTTGTTGGCTCAATGCCCTCACGGCCCCCAGGTCCTCGCAACCCCGCAACAGTGAGCTGAGAATCTCGGGGCTGTCGTAGTTCTGCCTTGCTTCCTCCGCTTCCGACCGCTTCAGGGCTCTGGCCCAGGGCAGATAGGCCGAGAGACGAAGCTTTCCGTTCAGCGAAAGAGCCTCGTTGCGGGGTTCAACGAAGCAGCTGGCAGCCTTGGGCATCTTCGCTCGGAGTTCCATTGTTGCCTCCATCATGCGCTCCAGGCAGTATTCCCTACTGTAGTGTCCGTGCGCAGTGTTCTGGACCAGGACATCATGCGTCAACAAGACATGCTCCGGGAACAAGGCAGTTGCCAAGGAGGCAAAACGCCATTGAGATACCCACTGGCAGTCTTCGTCAAGGTCAAGAACCTTGGCATGTGCACGAGGCAGGCAGACAGAGGCTCATGCTACTCAGCAGTACGGCCCCTAGCAATGTTCGCAGTTCCCGCTGCCTTCTAGTGGAGGCCGGGGAGCATAGGGCAGTAAACGGGGCGCAGCATCGGAGTGCACGGCTTCTACAGTGTGGTCAAAATTCAGAACGGTTCTCACCGCGGCACCGTCCTCCTTTCGATAGACATCCAGGACGCTGCCTCGAAACTGGGGCACGGTGTGGCATAAAGCTGCACAAGCACCATGCAGGGCATCACTCAGATAACAGCTGTCTCTTTGACCCAAGCGTGCTGCGTGATATACGTCTGGGATGAGCTTAGGAGTACTGTACAGTCAGGTCTTCAAGATTTCACTCCGCTCTTGTTCCCGAAAAAAGAATTGTAGCTTCAGCCCACACAGTCTGTACAAGCTCGCATAAGTCGGACCCTCACGTTCCGAATGTGGGCGCAGCCTCGGTCCCTGTGGAACGTTCGGCCTGTTGCGACGGTAGAAAAGAGCTCGCCGGGAACTATGACTCGAGCTGGAGGAGGTTGCTGATGACGGTCCAGCTCTTCGCGGAGGTTGCGGAGTTCACGTTCGCGAGCCCGTAGTTGATCTTCAAGTCGTTCCACTCGTTCGTTGCGAACGCATACATCATGCTCAGCATCCATCAGTTGTTGGCCCAGAGCAATATTCGACTGTTCTGCTTCCTTGAGCTGTTTCAGCAGATCCCCATAGTTTGAGTCCTCGTAGTTGTGGGTTTCGTCCACGTCCATGGGATCGTCTGGTGCCGTAGTGCTCGAGGATGTGGTAGGAGAAATCAGCCGTTGCCACCATAGTCGCGCTGTCTCACATAGCATTCTTTCTGTCACGATGACAATCACCACCATTGTCATAAGCCATGTCCAACCATCGTCGTAGCCGGTGGAAGTTGCCGAGGATGGAGTCGTAGACGTTGAGGTAGCCGAGGCGGTAGCCAGTATCAGCGACAAACACAAGAATCTTGGCTTCACAAAGGCGGTGCATGCAGTAATGCTTGTCACCGGTTTGTCCAACTCGCGGATCAATTCGCGATCGCTCATATCGAAGTGGCGCTCCTCGATTTCATCCATCTCCGGCAATGACCTGATGATCATCTTATGCTTCTCCTGGTTGTAGAACTGCACCGTGCCGGTCGTGAGCAGCTTCATCATAGGCTCTGCAATCATCGTCTTCGTAAGCGCGTCCGCGGTCATCGACTCGGTGGGAGTGAGGCACATCCATCGTATCCTTCCAGACATCCTTGCCTCCCTGAATGCCATGACATATAGTCGCTGATTCTTGTCCTGAGGGGCATTCTTGTCACCGGAGGCCAATTCATAGAAATCGCGGCAGTCGGTGAAGGCATCGATAGGAAGAGCTCGAACACCTCGCTCCTGTTGTGCGATTAAGCTCTGCAGAGTCGGCGGTTGTGGTGAATAAAGTAACTCTGCAAGCCTCACGGAAACCAGGGTTCCAGCTTCAAGCCCGCTCACCGCGGCAAGTGTTTCAGCGTGCGACGTTGAGTACGACACCCTCTTCGCCTTCGCTCCGTGAGCCCAAAGCACATGGCATCTGCCACCAAGAACTTGGCATTGGTCGTCGGTGAGGACGTGTTCGTAGTCCCGACTGAACTGCTTCATCCTGTCCTCACAAAGCAACACTAGGATACCCTCCTGGGCATAGTGTCTCACGTTGCCGGCCGCTGAGGAATCATGCACGCAGGCAAGGCGTAGTGGAGGCCGAAGCTTTTGGAAGTAAAGTCCCATGCCTTGCCCTGCCTCTTGCCGTGCTCTTTTCACCACTCCGTTGGCCTGCCTCAGGTGAACCAGCTTGGCTCGAGTCACTTGCGCCTGCAATGTGCACACCTCTGCGATGAGGTCGAGTCTTGTGGCCGTGAGCCATAGCAAGCCTCCCAGAATGGAGCGGAACATGGTGACTTCCGAAGGAGTCAGAAGCTCGTCATCCTTCCGCGTGCTGGCGATGTCCGCCGGCTTGAGCTTCAAGGCGAAACTGTCTTGCGACATCCGGAAGCCTTCTGGGATCTTCTCGTAGAGCACACCACAGTGGTTGAAGGGCAGCGTCTGGCGGGTGACCTTGCCGAACTTTGCCTGTAGCAGGGCCAGCTGCTGAGCCAGCCATTCCTTCTTTCCGCCAGCCCCGCAGTCATCGACATGCGTAGTGACGATGGAAGTCGTGCGGCCAGTCTTCTTATCTCGCCAGTAGAATAAATTTTAGGATGCCTTGCCCCCTTGTTCCTCAAAATGTCCGTGGAGGCATAATTGCCAGGCTAGAGGAGCATCCGACAGCCCATACACTGGTTTTATGCAGAACAGCACGTACTCGCTCAGCTTTGCGATGTCCACTTTGAACTTGCTGTCAAACGTGGCCAAGTGCCGCCAAACGTTTGCGGGAGCAACTATGACAACCTTGCGCACAGGTGAGGTGACTCCTCTGGCCTTGAGGAGTTCCCGAACCTTCTCAAACGTCAGACCTTTAAGGAAGGCTCCAGAGATGTCCCAGCTCTCCGCCTCCAGGTCTTCGTTCGCAGCCACGGAGAGGACGATCCGTTGAGACAAACGGGTTGCCGTCGTGGACCGTGTCGTGAGGAGGTCCTTCTGCTTGTCAAAGCATCCGCGTGCGCAGAGTCTCGACTTCACCTTTCTGGAGCCATCCGGCATCCGCTTCCACTTTCTCACCCAGACACTGTCGATGATCACCGTGTCGTCGGTGAGGGAGTTGACGTGCATCTTCTGGAAGCTGGAAGTCTCCACGAACTGTTTGATCTCTGCCGCGTCTGCTTCTTCCACTTGTGGCCAGATGCTGTAGCATTCCTCCTCAGTGATGTTGTCAGCCTCGTCATCCACTTTGTAGATCTCGCCGTTGCTGAGGTCCGCATAGAGGGCTTCATACTTCTTGCCAGGCCAGTTGAAGAGGTAGGGTCTCTTCAAGGTGTCAGTGCTCGCTGGCAGATCCATAGATCTGGACATGTAGATGTCCCATTGGGCCAACTGCACGTTGTTGTCGCATCCGTACCAGACCATTGGAAATTCCGTAGGAACAGCCTGACACCAGTGCATGGTCCAATAGAGGTTGACCAAGTTGTGCTGGGCCTTGGTCAGCACTCGCTCGCTTTGCATGCTGTCGAGGAGCAACTCGAGTCGCCCTCTCTTGGATTCGGGACCAAGGACCACGGTCCGTGAGTCTGGTCCCTTCCGCTTGTTGGCGTTGGTCTCCTCGTCGCCCTCGTCAGCGTCCATGGATGCCGTCGCAGAGGCTGCCGGCGAAGTAGGCTCACCGGAGATAGACATGGGAGATGCCGAGGAAGGAGAGGTCGTCGTGGTCTCCGGTGTGTCTGTCTCCTGCTCTACGTCCATTGAACCTTCGGAAGGAATGACCTGCATGGCCTTCTCGGGTCGATACTCCACATTCACGAAGAAGTAAGCATAGACGAAGCACACCTTCTCCACTGGCATCGCCGTCACCTTCTTGAGAACTATCGGCTGATCGCTGTTGTGCTCGTGGCTGGCATGTTCTGCATCTCCTTGCTTCCACAAGAGAAGAACTCCACATGAGCCGAGAGGAGGATGAACTTGCCGAACTCCTTGGCCAAGCATAGCTCCTCCGACGTTGTACCTAGACAGACCAGAAGCCAGTCTGACGATCTTCGGCCAGATCTCGGGATACGCCAGAGAGCTCGAAGAGGCTCGCCTCCAAGTCGTGAGATCTCCCTTCTTCTCAGGCACCCAGCCCACAGTCACCACCTTGAACAAGGAGAGCTTCTCAGTCAGGTGCTTCAACTCCATCAGGTCGCCGATCTGGTCCTTGGAGAGCACTACGAACACTCCTGCTTGATGCGGTCGGAGGTGCCGTAGAGACACCAAGTAAGGGCGACCTTGATATGAGAGGATGGCGGTGCCTTCCTCCTTGTTGACCTTCAAGAGCTCTGCCGGGCCACGCCATCCAACGTCTCCTTGAGTCTCTCGATGGAAGTCAACTCGGGTGACTCCCGGAACCATGTCGCCGAGCTTCAAGTGGTGACTGCGAGTTCGGTTCGCTCTCGCGATGCGATCTTCTGCGACTGACCGTTGGACCATTGAAAGCGCTGTCTGGCGAATACGGATGGCCCTTTCAAAAGGCGTCACGTCCGTTTGAAGCGCCCCGGTGATGGCCGTAACCCCCGACTCATCGGTTTGGTAAAAGGGCCGAGGAATCACTCCAAACACGCACATGCTGGGCGTCGCGCCACCGTAGTTCAGGCTGATGTTGTGGGACATGGCCGCCTCCTTCGCTAGGTCACCAACAGTGATCACGATGCCCTGCCTATCCAACTCTGCTTCTAACTTCAGCACGGTAATCTCCATCAGCCCCACGTGCCTCTCCACGAGCCCGGTGCCCGTGTGTTGTTTTCCGGCTGGACCAGCCGTGGTTCCTTTGGGCACTCTCTCGACATTGAACCGCTCTAGCTCGCGTCCAGCCTCGTGGCTCATGAGGCTCGTCTCCTGGTCCATCACCAGTTGTGCTGGGGGCCCAAACACGGAAAACCATGAATCAAACATGCAGTTGAGCAGTTCCTGGTGCTCACGGGACTTCACTACCGTGGCCGTCTTGTAGCGGGTGGCCTCGTCGATGTTAAGAAGAATCCAGTTCTCCTTGTGCATGAAGAGATCGATCTGCACCCGATGGTTGAAAGACGAGGCAGCGGACCCGATTTTCACTTGGGGCCGGTTCGGCAACCTGACGTACTTCCTGCATATTGAGCAACTCATCACAGCCTCTTCTGCAAGAGGGAGCACGTCGGACGAGAGCCCCGCTCGTAACAGCATGTTCTTGAAGTCGGTGATGGGGCAATGATAAAACCTCTCATGAAGGCCGAGAAGTAGTCGCTTGGCTGTTGTGGGGTCGTTCTGGATGATGTCGCTCTGCAGCCTCTTGTATACTTTCTTGAAATCGAACAATGGCTTCAGAGTTTTGGTCTCTTCCTCTGCTTCCGGTCGAACTGCATCAAAGGCTTCTTCGTCCTGTGCATCTCCTTCAATCTCATCTGCCGTAGCTGCTGCAGGAGGTTGCGGTGCTTGCGGTGAAGCTGCAGCTGGTCGCAAAGAAGAAGAAGACACGGGGGCTCTCCCACCATTTTCTTTTTCGTCCGGAACCGCAGAGGGACGAGAGGCAGCGGAGGCCGAGCCAGGAAAAACTCGACCCACCTCCATGTCATCCTGACAAAACCCAAAGGTGTACATGCCAGTCTGCCTCTTCGACACGAGCGTGCAGTTGACTGTGAGAAAGCACGCGCATGTCCTCCAAGCCGTGCACCTCCCAAGACCGGATCTCGCCACTGATCAGAAGCCGCATGGGAGCACAGGCCGAACTCAAATACGGGTCCGGAACTTTCCGCTGCCAGGGCCTCAAGGAAACCAAGACACCCAACACGCTCAAAATGTCTTGGAAAACATCCTGGAAAACTCGAAGAAGAACCGGATCAGATAGCCAGTGGTCGTAGTCAGTGGCCGTCGTAGCCTTGAAGACGTCCAAGCAGGACTCGATGAGCTGCATCATCGCCGCCTTGAGGTAAAGCTGGTTCTCCTGCTGGATCGTCAAGGACGGGTGCACTCGTAGAGAAACTCGCGAGTAGTCGCCGCTGCGCGCGAGGAACTTGAAGGGGCCCGTGATGTCCTCGAGGTCCGACCGAGCCAGCCTGGATGCAGGGGCTACTGCAGAAGCCGAACTGGGAGCCGCTGGAGAATCAGGCTCCTGGACGGGCATCTCAGGCGTGTTAGTCGTAGGCGCTGGAGGTGGTGCATCACGTCGTGCCCGAGCTTGCCGCATAGCTGGCTGACCAAATCGGCACTCACCAGGAACCATTGTATGTTCACAGCCTGGTGGAGCAGCTCGGCCCAGTTGACACCTTTCACAGTTGTAGTAGATGCCGTGCTGCCAAAACAAAGACCTTGGCCACTGGGGACAAATGGTGGCATGGTCGGCTCGCAGAATCGCCCAAAGATCCTGTGATAGGAGTTGTGTCATCCTCTTGGGATAGACAGCAGCCATGGCAGTTCTGCAGCAGCCTTTGAAACGCCCCTGTAGTGCACCATGCGGCAGGCCCTTGTGTCCATCACATCGCTTCAAGGTACGCCGCCATCGACGATTGCTAAGGAGGGCAGTCGCCTTCCTGATGGGCCGTTGCTGCTCGTCAGTCGCGCCCAACATGCACTGGTCCATGCGCTGAATCCGAACACCAGCATGATTGAGCAGCTTCGCCACCGGACTGTCCCGTAGCATCGCCGAGGAGTAGGGCTGTTCAAGAGTGAAGCCCCTGTCCTGATTGTGCTGACTCAGTGCCAGGTCGTGCAGGAACTCCAAGGTAGGAAATTCTGCTCTGCGGTCCTCTTCTCGCTTGGCCTTGTCCTTGCTGGCTGAAGCCACCGACCACGGCGCACAACTCGGAGCCGCAAACACATGGTCGGGGACAAACTCGTGGTGGACCTGCTGCAGCAAGGACTGATGAGGGGCATAGCCGATGTCCCAGGAGTATCTATGGTCAACAGGAAAGCCGACCATGATCTGTGCCATCATCATGCACAGAGAAAGTCTTCCGGATCCAGAAAAGAGCTCCCAGAATTGGAAACGGAGACTCTTTCCTTTCGCTCGTCGCATCCACACCAGAACGTTGTCGGGAGTGATGGGTCGACGTCCACTCTTTGAGTAAAATTCTTCAGGAATAGAGCGATAGTAGCGCTTCGCTCTTTCTTTTCTCTCAGCCGACCAATGACTGGGAAATTGGTCCCCGTTGTACGCCGGGAAGAGTTCGCCTTCCAGGCCCACATCACCAGATTCCGTAGCCATCGCCGCCGGCGGTTGAGGTGGTGATGGTGCGGGTCGTAGCTTGAACTTGGTGACTCCGACCCACGAACTTCCCAGGTCATAGTTAGGAACCTTGGCCTTGACCCAGTCGTCCTCAAGGAACCTGGCGGCTGCATTCTTCGGCACGTAGTGGATCTCAGTGGTTCTTTCCCCGGTAAATCTGGTGGCCTCCACAGGACAATCGACCGAGCAATTCGGCGTGAAGAGGATTCGCCGAGCCACCTTGTGGTGCCTGAACAGGTAGTCGCCATTGGAAGTCCAGTAGTCTTGTGGAGCCGTGGTCTTGATGCTCGGACCGTCGAGAAACGGCTTCAGTGTGGACCCCGATGCTGACGACTTGGTTGTAAAGGACCCCGATGCTGACGACAAATTCTTAAATAAAACGACCTCTGTGGTGGTGGAGAAAGTCTCTGAACTAGAGCCTGCATCTTTCGCTTCGAACGAAGCCATACTTCTCGAAGTAGCCGTAGCGTCAACACCGCCGTGGTCGTCCCGAGCTCGAGGAACTGTCCTCTCTGTGGTGGTAGAGAAAGTCTTTGGACTCGAGCTTGCATCTTCCGATTCATGAGCCTCAGCTTCCGTTGTAGTAGAGAAAGTCCTTGAGGTTGAGCGACGATTGGCTGCTTCGTGGATGTAGGCCTCTGTGGTGGTGGAGAAAGTCTTTGAACTCGCGCTTGCATCTTTCGGTTCGGAGCGGCTAGCATAACTCCGCTCATGTTCCCGACGTTGAAGGAAGCAGTGGCGGACATCGCTCCAACGGGACTGTATTTCCTCTGACCAAGTGAACAACATCTGTTCGGCTGCCTTCTGCTCGTTCTTCGTCATGATCTCGTGACCATCCACCGGAAGTAGGTAATGGCCGGAGTCGGTGAGAAGGACTCTGATGTACGACCAGTCATCCTTGCCTTGCCTCGCAACCAGCACGCCGTCGCCATTCTCGAAGTGGTTCGTCAAGAGGGCAGAAGACTGCTTGCGTAGCGCTGGGTTGCTAAGAAGTGCAGGGCATAGGGATCCTTCTCCGCCGATCACCTCAGCCGAATAGGTGCCGCTCATGTCTGACATCTGCAGAGGAAGTGACACCTCACCCAGGGTCTGCTCCGGGGTTCCATTGATGCCACTGACACTGTTGGTGCGATCGTACCGCCATTGCACCGCTTGCTCCTTGTTCTCGGGCAAACAATGCTCCATCAAGTCTCGAAGCGTCTCACTGCCAACCAAACCGCTGGCCGCTCCCGGATCCACCAAAAGGCCTCTTCTCTTGACTCCGAGGACGGTGTGGTAACTGAGGGAGTCACTAAAGACGCCGGTCATGAAAGAGAAGTCCAGCGTCTTGGTGACCGAAGACGACGCTGCTTCGGCTTCCTCTGCATCGGCTTCCTGGTGCCGAGGTCTGGAGCCGAGGTTCAGCACGGGAGACTCGTCGTGGTCGAGCTTGAAGTGGACAACCTTGGTCTTCGGCGGTGTCATTGAGGCTCTGCTCTCTCCGAAGCTTCCAACGAGAGTCTTCTCCGTGGCGTAGCCGAAGTAGCCCTTTCCTTTGCCTCTCGGAGTCCACTTTCCTTTGCCCTTGCTCTTGCCTTTTCCAGCTCCTTTCCGGAACTTGCCCTTCCAGCCAGAGGGAGCACCGAAACCTTTCGGCTTCCCTTTTCCTTTTCCTCCACCATAGCTGGAGTTGGCTCCCACCGGACAGGAGCTTGAAGCATGCCATCTGGAGCCGCAGATTGAGCAGCCGGGTCCTTTTCCACCTTTGCCCTTCATGGGGTAGTTCTCGCTCACCTCGTTCTCTGCGTCGGTCGTGGCGGTCGTCTCGGGATCTCCCTGGGGCTCTGCATCCCAGGAACCGCCATCGTACCATGCGTCGTAATCCTCGTCGTAGTAGTAGGCGCCGTCGTGGTAGAGCTCGTTGTGGTAATCACCATCCTGCCAGTAGTCTGCATGGTGGCTGGGGCTCGTATCCTCAACCCAGGACCATCCTTCATCTGTCCAGGAGTTGCTCTCCCAGCCATCATCAACGAAGTTGTTGGGCTCTGCTTCTTCGTAGTAGAGCTCCCCGGAATCGTCCTTCTTGGTTATCAACCGAAGCGCCAACACCCGAGCCTCTTGGTACCTGCGAAGGTCTCCCTGGAGCTGTAGCTTGATGTCCTCAATGAACTTGTAGGGCAAGCCGCTGCCCCGGAAGAACAGATAGAACTTCGCAACATCATTCAAGTCCAAGCCTGCCCGGGTAACTGCTTCTTCCAGGCGAATGTCAAACTCGATAGCGTACTCCTGAAAGCTCATCTTGCCTCTGCGAAACTCAAAGAACGCCTTGATGCTCTGGCTCACCATCTCCTGGTCGCTCACTCCAAAGGCGTCTTTGAGGCTATTGCATAAGGCCTGGATGCCACTCGGAATGGAGTGCTGGAGGACGATGTTCTGGTTCTGCGGGTCGCGTACCTCCTCAACACTCAGGCGTATGAGGGCATCGCTGCCCACATCAACTCCTCCATCAGGCCTCGGGAGCCTGAGTTGCATGCCCAGCCTCTGGGCCTTTCCTTGCAACCGTCCAGCCACCAGGGGCCCAACCATTGTGTCATCACCCTCATAGATTCTGTACCAAAGCTTCAACCGCTCAAAGTACAATCTCAGAGGGTAATCGCTGATATTTGGTGCCCAGCCTGGTGGCACGTCCTTCCGGAACTCGTGAAGCGGGATGCCTCCTGCTCCTGGACCGGAGCTGCTTCCTTGAGCAGCCATCTCTGCTCGACCTCGGAGGTCGGAGTAGTTCTCGAGGATTTCCAGCACGTAGCTGTCGCGAAGGTAATCGTGGGGTTCCTCGAGGTCCAGGTAGTAGAGAGGGGTCCCGTAGTCGCAGGAACTTGCCGGTGTTCCAAACCGGATGAAGAAAAACTTTCCAGCTGAAGCTGGAGGAGAAATCGCAGCACTCCAGGCAGCTGCTGGCCTTGACAGAGCGTCCCACGGAGGTGGGTACCTCTTCCGAATTTCCACGGCTGTTGGGCACAACGATGCCCGTCTTGTTCAAGAACAGCCAAACCGCAACGAAGATGACAAAGAAGTCCGTCTTGTCGATGGTTTCAGCAGCTGCCTCCCGAGGAGGCGCAAGAGCCCTCCAGGCTCTTCAGCAGCCTATGGCGCAGGAGCAAAGCTCCGCTACCAAACTCAGATAACAGCTGTCTCTTTGACCCAAGCGCGCTGCGTGATATACGTCTGGGATGAGCTTAGGAGTACTGCACAGTCAGGTCTTCAAGATTTCACTGCATCTGAGACAAGACTCTGTAGCCGTCCAGGCTCGGCAATCCCACTGCAGGCTCCCACTCGCGCAGGAAGCTCTCGAAGTTGTGCCATCCCACATGCCAGTTCTCGAGTGCAGTGTCTGCGTCAAAGTAGCAGTAGTAGGTGTACCTATAGCCTCGATCAGCAGTCAAGCAGAAGGTGGGGATGATTTTGATGTCTGCTTGCTTTCTCTACATTTCGGACATACGATTGCCATGCTTCGGATGTTTCTCAAGATGCTGTGAGCTTTGACAAGAGCCTAGGAATTGCGCACATTTTGATATGTCGAAAGAGACTTACTTTTTCTGGACAAATACTCATACATCATGTTCACGGCATTCGTATTCTTCACCATGGGCCTGACCATCAAAGTGCCGACAATCTCATTACCTTAACACTGTTCAGAGAACTCTAACGACTCAATTAATCGGGAGAGTTCCATAATTGTTCATACCGATCACCTTGTCTATATAAGATTTCGTAATTGTTCAGATTACCCATGTGATTCAAACGGCTCGTGCTAGTTCATACAGTTCATACAACTGCAGACATACCCCTTACCTAGTCGAGCTTGCTAGAATGCGAGAACCTTGATTGATACTCACAGAATTAATCTTATGGATTCTCTATATAGTCATCTCTCATCGTGCGTTGAACATGACAGCAGCATACCATCGTGATAGTTATCGTTATCACGATTTCTGCCATGTGAGCAGCATCTTGCACTGACTGTCCGTGCTATTAATGAGCATAACATGACCGCTTGCATTCCAAATACGACTTACAGTGCTTGCGCGATCATCAATAACCTACGTTCTGACCCACCAGAGGGGGCTAAGCTGATCTGAGACTGCGCCCAAGAGGCCCATCTGCAGCTCCACATACGAGGCAGTTGCATAGAGGTAGTTTCGACCCTCTGCGATCATGGAATTCGGGAAGAACAAGGTGTCCGCCCTGATGGTTTTGAACGTAAGCTGGAACACATCCACCCCCGCTTGCCAAAGAGCCACCTCCTTCGCATAGACCTGAGCTCTGGAGCAGAATCCCTGTTCCCCAAACAAGCCAGAGCCACTCTCTGCGGCCAAGGGCACGTCCTCCTCACCTGCCAAAGTCCGAGGCCGCAAGCACCGCACCCCCCTTCCCCGCAAGAAGCGCACTCCGCAGCCTTCGATGAGGGCAGCCACGCGAAAGGATGGGCCGGATGGGAGGCCACGAGCCCGGTCGATCAGCTGAGACCTCAGCAAGAGCAGCTGTAATACTTGGCGGCTGAAGACGTGCCCACACCCCTCCTGCCCTCTGCTGTCTGGATGCAGTTCTGGCCAATCGTCCTGAGAAAGATTCCGTCCGTACATTGGGTGATGCCTGAGATGTGCCAGTTAAGGGAGAGTTTAGAGTCCAGCCAGGCGCAAGTTTCCTCATGGCCTCAGCAGCTCACGCTTCCTTGGTGGCCAGACTGGAGCCGCAGCTGCCAGCAGAAGCGCAGGCACGCGCAGGCATCGTCCCATGCTCGCCATGCAGCTCGGTAGCAGGAACCAAGTTCTTACCGCAGGGCCTTCGTCAGCCCGTTCCGTGCTGCCTCTGCCATCACGACTTGGCTCCTAGAGGCTAGGTCCACCACCTGGGTCTGGCTCATCCTGCTGAACAGCGCAGATCCGTTGAGCTGTTCTGGCTGTTCTGGTGTCGTAAAGTAGTTATGGTAACGAGTAGATGTTAGGAAACGCTCGACTGCTTGGTCTCGCCACCTGCCAAGGATGCAGAGATGAACACGAGCAGAGGCTTGCAGGCGCAACAGCGGGTCGAAAGAGGGCGGACCGCAGATCGCAGAGCTCGCCCTCCTTCTCCATCAGCTCCTGGCATCTCCCCCTTGTCCGACATTGTCCAGTCCAAGTTTTTCGGGCGAGAGGCTCTGCATTGTAAGCTCAGCGGGAGTTGGAGATTCGAAATGCCTTGTCGCGCTTGGCCAGCTCGCGATCCTTCTCTTCCAAACTCGGTGCGGTCACGGCTAAGGGTGTCCACAGTACTGCACGTGACAGAACAAAGGACTTCACTGCTCCGTGGGGGCATTGCCCGTGCAGCTGAGACCCACGCCTGACTTTGGTGAGCTGCAACTGCAAGCAGGAAGAAGGCTTCGTCGTCCCAAAGTTGACGGCTTTCGCCATACAAGTAGAACACTATTGACAGCATTGCTTCTGTGATTAATGTGATCAACGCGATCATTAAGGTGGCCCGGGGCTTGGAAGCAAAACGAGTCTTTCCTCAAAGCTGAGACGGCTTGAAGCGGTGAGCATCGCAAGCCTCCTGCTCTTTCTCCTGCACCTGCTGCTGCTGCTGCTTGGTCATCCTCTCCTGCACTACTTCCAAACTCGACTAGAGGAGTGTTCAATAGGCCGTCTTGTCCGCTTGGCTAGCGACTCAAGCCTTGCATCTGCATCATGCCCTCATGTTCAGCAACGCCCACCGAGCATTCGACGAGTACTCAAGACACCGCTCCTGAAGATCTGCCTGAGTCAGCTGAATCGTCTGAACCTGGCAGTGGACCGTTCCACATGGGAACAGCAACACAGCCGTTTTTTTGGAATGTAGAGAATGCAAACAGCCGCGACAGCTCCACCAGGTCAGTCGGCTGGCCCGGCCGAGCAGCGGGGCCCAGCAGCCTTCGGCTTGGAGCTTACGAGCCGCGACACGGACAGAGCTTGGCAGAACCGGCTTTGCCAAGGCTAGCACGAGTGTGCACTCTGACCAGGTATCGTCCTTTTGACACGGATCCAGCCCGCTTAGCACGGCAGCTGACTCATCGACTGCCTAGACAGAACGCTCTGAGGCCACCGCGGCACGGGTTGCGGCTGCAGCCGGCAAGCCTGGCCAAAGATGAACAAATCCTTCCGTCAAGCACTTGTCTGAACTAGCAATACCATTGCTGACGTCATGATGGCAGAAGACCACTAGAGGAAGCAATTGGCGCTCTACCCCTCAGTTTCCCGGGCAGTGCCCCTGCGATTCGGAGGCGACTCTGGGTCCCGGCTTTCAGGGGACCCTGCTGTGAGCCTGGACAACCATTGGGAAACTGAGAAAGGCTAGAAGGTCATCGATACAACTGCACACTGTACGATGGCCACGTGGGCCATGAGCATCGAAAGCCTTCTCTTAGTAAACGCGCCAAAGTGGGTAGCTTTACCTTGCCAGGCTATGCTCTGACGGTGACCTGGCGCCCATCCAGCTTGAATTGAAAGTTGGGAAAGCCAAGAAGGGCAGAGCCAATCAACGGAAGCCCATCCTTTGGCGCTTTTGGTGCAGTGAGAGAGTGAAAGCTGGCCCACTTGCTGCGGTGGTGATGAGCCTCTGGCTTCAGATTGGTCGGGTACATACCCCCGGCCAAAGGCCAGTCACTGCTGTTGGGCGAAAGCCGAGCGCCGTCCAGGATCATAAACCAGATCTTGTTGACCTGCACGAAGCCACGCACTGCCGCGGAGGCTGGCAGACCCCAGGATGTGTCAAATCTGGCCGTCGACGGCTCATCCGTTCTTGGCTGCTGTGGCAGCTCGTACTTCCGATGGAAGGCATTCACGGCGAACTTGCTGTGCAAAAGGTCCGTCGCCGTCTCCAGGCGAGTAACATATCCCGGAACGAAGTTCCGAATCTCGACCTCCACGGTGCACTCATGCTCTGTCACATGATGGATGAAGCTCTCCAACGTCTCGAGCTGACAGCGTTGGGCCAACGAGGATCCTGTCTTCGCTTTCTTCGGAGGCCGCTCCAGGATCTTGGTGAACTGCTGCTGCGGAGTCGGAAATCCTGGAGCTTTGCGTTTGCGGGCATGACGGGCAGGCAGCTTCACCATCTTCACGTCGAGGTCGTGCCCGGAGGCGAGAGTCGACACGGGCTCTCCGAAAAGCTGCGTCCACTCGGCCTCCTTCGCTGCAAGCTTCCGCTGCTCCGCCTCCGAGAGCTCCACGGGCTTTTCCACGAGGTCCTCCGGCGTGACCCTGACCTGGCAAACTTCCATCAAGGTTCCCTCTGCCCGCTTTCGTGGCCAGACAGCTTCATGGACTTCGCTCTCCTGGCCACCCTTTCGCACGATGACCTTGAATGGAACGTCGGCACGGTCACGATTGTTGTAGTTGTTGACCTTCATCACGAACGTTCCCACCTGGTTCAGCGAGATGTTCTCGGCTGGGTTCTTCTCAATCTTTGACGCATTTGCGTCAAAGTCCAGGCAGCAGCTTTCGACCCTCTTGTTCCCGTAGTAAAGCTCTTGGCCCTTGACCCAGGTGTGCAAGTCGAGGTCTGACTTATGAGGGTTGCCATCCAGGCCCCATACCAAAGTCACGGTGCAGAGCGACTTCACTTGCTTGTCCCGCAACAACTCTGCCACGCGTGACACCATGTACGTTGCCGGATTGCTCCGATCGTCCATCATGGCCACAAGGCCCTCCAGGTTGGCAGCTGTGTCCATGAAGTCCACCAAATTGCTGGCCTGCTGCATGTCGAGATGTACATTCCCGTGGGACCGTCCTGTAAGCATCGCATAGATCATGACGTGGAACTTTTCATGGAAAGCAAGGTTTTCCCAGCTCTTGCCGCGAGCTTCAGCAACAAAACTCACTGCCCATTGGACAACCGCCCTCCAGTGGTCCGGGCGCACCAGCCGGGGAATCACATCCTGGATGACTTTCAGCGAAGCTGGGTCGTCCACCAAGCGCTGGAATCGGTTGTCGAAGGAGCCGTTCAGGTATAGCTTTAGATCCTTTAGCCTCTGAGATAATCCAGAGTCCGAGAGTTGGTCGCAGGTGAAGTGCACATGGCTGAAGGGTCCAACCTCTACGGGATACTCCTTGACGAAGTCCTCGTCAATCACCACGGCAGTGAGCTCCGATACGTTCTGGATCTTCTTCCAATGCTTCTGGCGTAACTGTCGAAGTGTCTGCACGTTTGGCTCTTTCACGTCGTTGAATGCGATGAATGACCCACTTTCACCCATCAACTGCGCGAACTTTGGCATGCGGTGCCTGCAGGTGTTGCACCGATTGGACAGGTTGGATGCGCAAAGCCGGCTCTCGTGTTTGGGTAAAGCTTCCCGAGGCTGAAGGCAGAAGAGCAACTTCTTGCTCTGCACCTGCACACAGCAAGCCTTCATCGGAGTGCTCTCGATCTTTCTGTAAGCTTCCTTGCACGCATCGGAACGATGATCCTCGCCTTTGGGGACGTCCACGACCTCCCAACCCTCATCGCCAGACCCAGCCATCCCAACTAAAAACTGTGCGGCGGTGGAGATGGGCACTGGTAAGAACTAAGCACTTGGACTTGGACCTAAAGGTCAGGGTCGAAGGGTTCATGCCTGGGATACTGGTACGGTCGGCCATGACGACGATGACGGTGACAATGATGAGGATGTGGATGTGGATGAGGATGAGGATGATGATGATGATGATGAAGGTGATGGTGATGATCATGGTGGTGATGATGGCGACGGTGATGATCATGGTGGTGATGATGGTGACGGTGATGATGATGATGATGATGATGATGATGATGGCGATGGCGATGGACGACGACAGAGATCAAAGCCTCTAAAAGCATCGAGCACATCGAGCCACAGCTCCGCCTGGTTCGTGCGATTAACGGTGCTGCACAGAGAGGTAGGTGCCGAATCCTGGCACAGAAATGACGGCAGCAGGAGTTCAGGAGGCAGTGGGGGCTCACACGGCCCTTTGTCTCTGAAGCCCAGACGCTAGCAGCCCCTTCACAAAGCTGAGGGGAAGTCTCAGGGCACGAAACGGCCACAGAGCACGAGGATTCACAGAGCCAAAAGTGTTCGTACATGTTAGTATCCTACGACTAGGATGGGATAGTCGAAACAAATGGGCAGAAGAGAATTCTTCCAGGACGGACCCCATACAGGATCCGAAAACTGGAGCAGTCATGTCTCTGCTCTAGGAACTGCTCAAACCCGGGAAGTGGTTTCGAGCCTTGCCACTGGTCAAGTAGCTTGAACCGCTGGGGGCCAGTGTGGTCGGCATTGCAGATGGCGCCTTGGTCCATGTTTCCGGGCGCTTCAGGTGACATGTAGAATGCCTCCCCGCGCGCGCGGGCAAAGAGGCCAAAGGGGTACAGTGATGAAGTCTTAAGCTGCGCTGCCACAAAAAGTGAAAAACTAAAGGCTCGGGCTGCGTTTCGGAACCTCCCGGGCGTCGGGACCTGCCGGGGAGAGGATCAGTCCCGGAGTGTGTCAGTTGCCAACCAGGCCAAGATTCGTCGAAGGCCTACGTGGGTTCAGCCCTCATCCTTGCATTGTTGAAACAACTGGGTTCTTGCTTTGCGGAACTTAACTGAAGCTACCATAACAATGGGATTTTGTAGCTTAGATGCGTTCGCTTCAATGGTAGCTTGAATCAAACTCCTGGACAACTACCCAGAAAACTGACACAAAAGGCCTGCTTCAGGTACTGCGCCAGAGTCTGCTGGCTCCCACCGTGGAAGCTGCCTAACACGCAATTTACACACTTTTACCCCCATGGCGATTCAAAAACGAGTAACTTCTTGTAGGAGTTTTTGAAATACGGATCCTACTGGTACTAATTTTGCATTCAAGACACTCCCACATGAACGTGCTGCAGACTTCCAGTGCACAATTGGGCCACGGCCAGGGGCGAGGCTTTTGGTGTACGCCGGGGCCGGCGCAGCCGTCTGCCATACCTGTCCGGCTCTCATCGGTGGCATAAGGTTAGAGGATTGGAAGTTGTAGGGTGAAAAGTTACACGGTTATTACAGGATAGGGGTTAAAGGATAGTCTTTACTTAATCTTTAGGTTTGTAAGGTAGCGGGCATACCGTAAGATACCATAACCTATCTCAAGGTAAGCTTATATATCTTACATCATATAATAGGGTTTAAAGCAGATCTGCGCCAACCATCTTTTCATTCGTACAATTACGGAAAAGCCCAAGCCTGTCACGAAAATTGCGGAGTTGACACCCCTCTGCAAATCCATGACCGCACAGTCTTTTGGCACAGGTCCTGCCAGCCTTCGTCCGGTGAAGATGATACATGCAGTGGAACATCATCGTGAAACTTTGAAACATCAACTCTACAAAGCATCTTTCTCCATGCACAACCACTTAATTTTCATGTGACTGCTTGCGGATGGAGGGAAACTGGACTCGCCGGTGTCATGTGTCCTGAACCCTGCTTTGTGACAGCATTTGATAGCCGCCTTGTTTGTTTCCACAACCGCCCACGACCGACAGCCTGATCTTCGAATGGTTGGAGCCCTTCTTCCTGGCGTTGGTTTCTGCAGATTGGAATAGCAGTCCACCTAAACCTTTTTTTAGTTGCTGAGTTCAACAGCCCATAAAATGTGAAAACTTTCAGTTCTATGGAGGACACTATTGAGAATTTTCCCAAAAAGTGCAAAATGTATTCATTCAAGCTACTAAGTTTCCCCTGATGGGATCGGTCCACTTTGCAGTGGCCGATGCTCAATCCGTCTGTGTCAAAAGGCAAAGACGTATCCTGCAATTGTGTTGGTGCTGCTAGACACTGCAGCCAAGGTGAACTGAGAGGCAATCTTGCCTGCCCTAGTTTTCAATGGCTCTCAGCCGGCCCTTGCCTAAGTGCAATGGGTCACCCACCAGATTCGATGCATCTTGCCGCTTTACATCGTCGTACCAGGAACACCTATGTGAAGGCAGGCGTGGTCGCCCGTGAACACCCGCTCAGATCACCGGAGACGTTTGGAACAGTTTTGCACGGAGGCACAGATGAAGTACTCGTCATTCTCCGCCAGACTATTCTCGGTCTGCTTTTGAATGACAGCCTCCTCATCGTCCTCTGCCTCCTTTAAAGGGTCCATCACACACGAAACAATAGGTAATGCCGCTTTTTGCGGTTACGAGATGCGAAAACCTTACAGCAGCAGCCTCAGCCTCAGCAAAGGCGCCGTCCAACTTCTGTGCTGAGGGATCGAGCACGTCACGTATGACACAACAAATCGCTAACGCCGCTTCTTCCACTTAAGAAACGCGAAAACCATAGAAACGTGCACGGTCAACAACTTGAGCTCCGCCTCCTCGTCTTGACCCCGCTCCCACTTGCTCAGCAAAGCACGTGCCGAGGCATCCGGGCACGAACCTTCTGGAGAGGTCTGGTGCTTTACGCTTTCGCTTGGTGCTGAGATGTGCTGAGCATCTCCGGCTGGGTCGGATAACATGGCACGTGGCGAGAGGCGCTCCGTTGAAACCACATCAAGAGATGCGCCGCGCTCGATAAGCTCGTGGGTGATGTCGTGGTGTTGATCTCCAATTGCGTAGAATACGGCGGTTTCATGCGGTTTCGTTGATATTCGTTGATGTCATCTGGAAAACTCGCCTCGAACTCTATGTTTAACAAAAATCTGCAGAGTGCCTCTCGAAGCCGCATTGAACAAAGGAGTCTGTTGGGTCTTCTTGTGTACTTCTGACAAGTCCGCCCCCATCTTGATGCAGATCTTTGCCAAGTGCTCGGACCCACTACGAGTTCGGGCTGCTGCAAAGAAAAGGAAACTCTGATCGGGGCCGGAGAGCCAACCTATGGTTGCACGCACTAACGCCTCCTTCGCATCCGAGAACTCGCCATCTCCCAAATTGAAAAAGACTCTATCGCGATTCACGTGCATCATGTGAACAGTGAAGAGGTCTTTGAGCCCGTGCTTCGATTGGACTTTGCCTTGACTCTTGACCTTTTGAAGCACCTCGTTCCAAGTCAAACCGTCCAAACCTGACTGTGAGACTTTGAGAAGGCACGTTCAAGCGGCAAGATGTGGCAAGCAGTTCAATATTACATGTGGTGCTGTCGCGGGTTTGGCCTGAGTGGTGGGCTGTGCCGCTGGAGTTGCCGCCGCTGCAGTTGCCGTTGCAGCAGGCTGCGCAGAGGGCATGGTCCCATAGGTGGATTTCAACGCCTAGCCCAACACAGGATCCGTTCATCAACTGGGAAGGCCCATTTTTTCGCTCAGAGCGGTGCGTTCATGTAGCGAGGCGTAGGAGACGAGTACCTGGAGTCCCAAGAGGCACAGAGCCCCTGAAGTCCCAGAGCAAAGGCGTCCGCAAACCGCGGCTTCTCCGGGACTTCCCGGTTGGGGGGCACTCCTTCCGTGGAGTGCTGGATCGGCTTCGGACCTCGGAGGTTCAAAGCTTCGACGCCTTGACCGGGGAGTTCCCCAGGACTCTTCCAGGGGCCAGGCTGGGTAGTAGTACCTGCCAAGGGCCGGCCCAGTTGCACCCTTCCCGCACACCTAACTCGCCTTGTGCCTAACTCTGGCCAGATCGGCAGGAAAGTACATGAACCCCAGCCCAACCTTTGCCCTCACAAAGCTTACACGCTACCTGAATGTGAGATCCCCTGCTTCGGCCGGCCTAAGAGGGGCACGGCTGCGTGGCGGCTGGCAGGGCAGAATGCAGGATAGAGCTGACGAGCACTCGTGAAAGGGGGAGCCCTTACGAATCGCAGCAAAAGATCTCCCGGCTCTCTTTGCACCGTCCCCCGTGTCCAACCTCATAGGAAAAGTCACGTAAGCGTTGCCTCGGCGCATGTAGAGGGCCGACAAAAAAAGGAGCAGCATGGGGCAGCCCAAAAGACGAGCTGATAAAACCCCAAACCCAGAAGCTGGCTCGCCGAGGCAGCAGCTTGCTCGAGTAGGCAGGGACGACCACAGAACAAGGCTGAGAGCTTTGCCTCAGAGCCCGGGTCTGAGTAGGATGTCATAGCGTTGCGTGGGCTGCTCTCACGTGTCACATCGAGTTGTTGAGGGCGTCGCAGCCAGCTAGGAGCCTCGGTGGAATCCAGGACGCCACTCTTTTGAGAGAGTCTTCCCTGATTCTATTGGCTGTTCTTGGCTATTCTTCTTCGCTTACGAGTACTATCCTTTGTTCATGTTGCTTGTGAGTGAGGAAAAGTGAAGCTGTGGCAGTAGCAGCAGGCTGTCGTAGTTGTGCTGTGGCGGTGGCGGGGGCGGCGGCGGCGGTGGTGGTGGCGGTGGCTGTGGTGGTGGTCGCGGTAAGTGTTGGCAGTAAGAGTTGTCAAGCAGCAGGCCTAGTAACTGTCATCGTCGCCACCGTGGTCCTCCGTCGTCGTCGGCAGCGTGGGCGAACTATCAGCACGAGTAGGGCCTAAGTAGAGTTTTTATTTTAGTGTGTAATGGCGCCCGTTTCTGCGAAGCAGCACCTGCCCAGATCTTAAGGTTTAGATGCTAGCTTCTTGTCCATCGTTTTGGATACGGCTTAGCAACGCAAACATGATGCTGCCGCCTACGGCATCAACAATCCGTCTGCAGAAGCTGTCGGAACCGAGGCACAGGGACGTTCTGAGACAGCGAATTAGTCCACATCGACTTCGACTCACCCACCTGGCAATCGGACTTTCCGATTGGTCGGGTACTTCAGTGGTGCATATTGTACTCCGCGGAGACACTACTGAGCAAAAAGCCCCGGTGAAGTCAAACTGCCCCACTTCGTTGGGGATGGTGTCCACGCGCTGCAATGTGTCCTGTCACAGACAAAAGCTGCTAAAAAAAGATCTGACATTGGAGTGCGACAAGTACTCGTTCAGGGGATGTAAACTGATTGCCTCGCTTCTGCCAAGCGTATGGAGCTGCCTCTGCTGGGGCCGATGCCTCAAACGGTAACGTTTAAGTGAATTGCGCTACTCCTGTCTCACGACACATGCATGACGTGCTGTGGTGTGCGAGATGAGGATGTGCATTCGTCCTGCAAGGAAGAAGGCCGACAAATCTCGACGAGGCAGGGCTCAAAGAGTTTTCAAGAGTTTCTCAGGTTGCCAGACAGAGGCCGCACTTCACATCTCCAGGGACGCCACATCCTCGCCCAGCTCTCGTCGTTCAGAGCACCGGTTAACCTCGGTCTCACTTCCCTGCGCACATAGCACCCTTTTGTAGACTCTGTCGTTTTACGCGGTGCTGGGATGCGGCTGTGATCACAGATGATCCTGCATTCTTAGAGAGCACAGAGGTTCTGACGCCGCAGGGTCCAGCAACTGGGAAGTCGACATCTCAGCACAGCAAAGGTGCTCTGTGAGCTGCGGAAGGGAGGAGAAGTCTTTCAAGATGCCGACACATGGCGCAGAGGGAGTCAGGGTCGCTGTCTGTGGTGCAGAGCTGACCTGCATGACGGGGGATGACGGGAGCAGCGAGCGCCTTTGCTTTTCTTCTGGCTCCGAGCCCTGCTCTCCCCCAATGATACCCAAGAGCTCCCGGGCCTGTCGGTGTCGGGACACCGGGGAAGGCTGTATCGAATGTGGCATCGGCATCGGTGGCACGTCAAAGACGCCCTGGCACAGCAAGGGCAGCCAAGTGGACGCACGCAACTCCAAACCCTTCATTTCCTGGCGGTGCCCACACGCATTTGCCACTCCTTCCTGAAGTGCTAAGACCTAGATAACCCAAGGCTTCCCGAACGAGTGCCTGCATTGGGCCAGGCAGCGGCAGGTCCGTGGGAGACCCCTCATAAAGAAACAGCTGCTGCTTGCAGGCGGCATGGTGGTGGGCTTTGCAGTATACGGCTCCGTGATGCTCCGTGGCAGTTGAGCTCAGGCTGAATCTCTCATCCTGATCCGTTTCCACCTGTGCCCGAGATGCAATTGAACGCTGGGTATGAAGCCACAAAGGACCAGTTCGCAAACCCAGCAGGTTGGCCTGGCAGGCTTCAGTCTGAGCCAACCCACCAGGTCCGCAAGCCCTTTGCCTCTCTACAGCCTTCACCGGCGCGGCTGTTGCGGTCGCCGGCAAATCCGCTCCGGGCAACAATCAGTCTGATCAATCTTCAGCAGCGGATTTGTGGGAAAAACGCCTTCTGCGCAGTGGCGAGCACAGCGAGCATCGCTCGGCCAGCCCGCGCCGAAAGCCGCTTAGGGCAAGCTTCGCTTTAAAGTCTCCTGGAACTCTCGTAACTCGCAGTCTCACTAATCCGGAATTGGCCCCAACATGCAACCACGCGCCATTCCACAGACCTATCTCCCCAACTCTCCCCACCTAAACCCACATGAGCATCTATCAGCATCGAAAGCTATCCAACTCTCTTGCAGCTCTGGCGCTCACTTCCAGCGCGCTTGGCCTCAGCCACGCATGGTTTGCCCTTTCGCAGTCGCACGGCCTTCCCTCCAGGCACCCCAACGCGCATGCACTTCAGGCATTGAGGCCACGGATGGCCAGGACTCGCCTTGGCAGAACAGGGATAAGAGTGCGATTGCCATCTTTCTAACAGCCAACCCGAGCCAATGACTTCAGAACATCGCCAAAAATGTTGTCCGGCGTGGACCTTGACGACTGGACACTCATTCGGAAGAGAATGACTCACAAACTCGAGCGACGTGCCACTCGCAGGGGGGATCCTTTTTGAGATGCGCGTCTTCGCCAGCTCACGCGCATCCCGCGCCCCCCTCCTGTCTCTTGTCGCCGACGGTTCCGCTCTGCTCGAGTTGAGGAGCCCACAGCTCTTCCGGTGCTCCGCGACAGCTTGTCTCCCGGCTCTTCCCAGAAACGGCCAGGAGCCTCACCGAGAGTCTCTAGGCCACGGGGTGCTCCTTGAGCCACTTCGGCGAGTACTCGACCTTGATCTGATCCATCTTGGCTGCCAAGACGAAGTCGGGCAGCGAGAGCCCTCCGATCGCGTGCGTGCTCAACTCCACCCGGACGTTTCGGTAGGAAGTGATGTGCACATCCGGGTGGTGCCCCTCCTGCTCGGCCAAGACGCTGACCTGTGTAAATTAGGCCCCTTTAGCAGCGACTAAGATCCTGTGCCTAGAACGCCCATTGCGACGGTAGCAGTGGCTTTTTTGCCTCTCCCCTTCGAGGAGGCCAAGGCGGGAGCGCCTCGTTGAGGAAGCTCATGGCTGCCGCCCAGTTCTTGGCCACGAAGCAGCGGCTGATGGAAGCGCCGTCCGGGGACAAGGCCCAGAGAGGCAGCAGAGGGATCCTCGCCAAGACCTCCTCGCGGCTCAAGCCGGGGGTGTCCTTGCCGCAGCAGCCACCGATCTTGCCTCGGCTCTCTCGCGGAAATTCGCGGAAGCAAGGCAAAGGCCATCCAAAGACCCTTCTCAGGTGTGCCACCCGGGCACAGCTTAGGAGCTCTTCGGTGCTCGTGGCCTCGCCCACCTCAAGGGAGGGAAAAGGGGGGAAACAGAAAGCACCGGGCCCGGAGAATTCTGCTACGAGCAGCCTTTGGCTGGAAAGTCCTGCATGTCCCGCTAATCCAGCAAACAGCAACGGCATGGGCAGGGACGCCGTCGGCATGAGCACTCGCAAACAAAAGCATGCACGGACTCTAGAAAGTGCTCCCAAAAGCACCTTCAGAGCCAGGCCACCCTGGGCCGCGGCCTCTGTTTCCGCCATGGGTGCAAAAGCGGCTTGCGCGCTGTGTGTCCGATGGCATGTGATCGTACGATCTTGCAAGGTAAGGTGAACAGGGCAGACTGCTGTTTGAGTGTGTGTGGGCTTCAGAATCTCGTGGAACGAGCATTGCACGAGCTGCAGTTCAGAAAAGGCTGCCGAGTCAAGATTCTTTCCAGTGGTTCGGACTCTTGCAACATATGTGTTCTGACCTGGGGCAGTGGCGCGCCGGAGGTAATGCCAATGGTGACGGGACCATCTGGGAGGAAGTTCTCCGTGATCTGCGTTGGACAACTGCATTGCACTTCCAAGCTCTTCTCCTCTCTCTGGACCTGATCTGTTCGGACATGGCCTTGTGAAATTCTGCGAATCGCTGCGAGACTCTAACGGGAGCCTCAAGGCCCTCGTCCAGCATGGCTTGCGCAGGCAGCGTGGTCAGGGGCTTGTGCTGCACAGGGACATGCACGATGAAGCGATAAGTGATGTCAAGCCCGAACATAAGTCTTGCGCGCAAGTCTCCGCACGTTTTTGCTGACCAGCACCGGATGCCTGGATTTTGTTGGTGGCCTCTCCATCAGCAACTCCAATGCGCTCCGCGCAGTCGATATGATACCTTGCACTGAATAAAGCGAAACGGGGACGGTCACAACCTTCCCGAAACGCCATGAGTTTTAGTTCCTCGGTGGGCGTTGTGCGTGTTGCTGTTGTTGTCGGCATTATAGTTCTTTCCCCCTGCGTTCTTGTCTTCATAATCATTATAGACCTCAGTGAGCGTGCGGTTGCCATGACTTTGTCATGATTATGGTTGATAAGCTGCTAGTCTATCTCGCATTGTTGTCATTGTTGTTCCTGCTGCTGGTACTATTGGTGTGCTTATGCTTACGGCCGTGTTAAGAACTCAATGGAGGGCTGGATTTGGGAGTCGCACGCAGGCACGCCCTCGTCCTCCGCAATTTCCAGGAGGTGGGTCTTAGCAGCTCGGACGCTTTGCTGCAATTCGGATTTTGTGGAAAGGTGAACGAATGACATGATTCTGGCTGGAATTCTAGAAGAGAGAGCAGTAGGGCAGTGGCCGTGTTCGAGGAGTTGTAGCCACCGAGTACCAAGCAACTGGGCGCAGCCAAATCACTCAGATTCTTGCGGCACGAGAACCAGCCACGAGACTCACCGGGCAGCATCTGCTCCAAGTTAGCACTGACTGGACTCCTTCTGGACCGCTTGAATTTAAAGATCGCCGCCGAACTGCAAAAAAAACTGAGTGCCTCACAGGTCGACCCTGTGCAGAGGGGTTCTTGCTTCGGACACATAGAATGTAAATTGCTTTAAGTCCGTGTAAAGCACACAAAATTGGCAAGACTGCAACTGCTTAGGTTGCAGGGCGAGGGTCTTGGACGGCATGTCAGTCGCCATCTCGCCGCCTTTCGTGCAACTCGGTCCCGGAACGTGTCGCAATACGGTGTGGGAAAGCATCGAGGGCGCAAGAGCAGTTTTGGCAACTCCCAGCCACCTCCTTTGGAAGCCGCCTCCATCTTTCTGGACCTGGGAAAGTGTCAGAGGATGGGGAGGACGGTGCCGGGGCCAGGACCAAGGGCCACCGCGCAACTGCCTTTTCCAACCAAAGCAACACCTGGTTCATCCTGGTCCCAAGTCTATGTACATCTCGGCCCCAGTTTTTCAAAGGAGGCGAGGTCCTACAGAACGTGTCAATCGTCGCACATTCCTGCAACAGATGACATCGAGCATGAGTCAGGAGCGTCGAGAGTTTGGGAGTCCAGGCCACGCGCCTGGGCTGCTCACTCCTGGTGCCTGCGCTTGGAGTTACTCTCATCTCCACCTGGGACCGAGAGCGCAGAATTTCACAAAGCCGGTGAAACATGCACTGCAGTCGGAATATCCGGATCGCTCATAGAACCGAAACAGATGGAAATGCAACAGCCTAACTTACATATCATGCGGTCTGGTGATCATCTTGCAGCTACAGTATTGGTGTTATGATTACCATAAGCATTGCCATTGCTACTGTACCTGTACAACACTTGTTGTTGCTGCTGCTACTACCACTACTACTACTACTACTACTACTACTACTACCACTACTACTACCGCTGCTGCTGCTGCTGCTACTACTACTACTACTACTACTACTGCTACT